AGTTAACAGGGTTTACTGACTTGTTTACTCAGAGTTAACAGGGTTTACTGACTTGTTTACTCAGAGTTAACAGGGTTTACTGACTGGTTTACTCAGTTTACAGGGTTTACTCACTTGTTTACTCAGTTTACAGGGTTTATTGACTTGTTTACTCAGAGTTAACAGGGTTTATTGACTTGTTTACTCAGTTTACAGGGTTTATTGACTTGTTTACTCAGTTAAAATGGTTAATGACTTGTTTACTCAGAGTTAACGGGGTTTATTGACTTGTTTACTCAGAGTTTACAGGGTTTATTGACTTGTTTACTCAGAGTTTACAGGGTTTATTGACTTGTTTACTCAGAGTTAACAGGGTTTATTGACTTGTTTACAGCTCAAATCAAACAATAATTTAACAGATGTTACTGAGGATCCAGAACTCCTCACAGGTTCTGGATCCAACAGTCAGGTCCTGGTCCTGCTCTGAGTCCAGCTGACCCGGGTCCTTCAGGCGGCGCTGCGGCTCTCAGGAAGCAGGTTGATGAGGGAGTTGCTGGCCTGGGCCAGTTCTGTGATGGAGACCCGTCCTCTGTTTCTGATGAACTGGGCCACAGAGTCCAGCTCGTCTGGAGTGATGAAGATGAACTTGCCTCTGTCGTCGATCACACCTGCACACACACCTGTTCAGGTCTGGGTCCGACCGGCTGCACCTCTGACAGTCTGCCTTACCTGTGAGGGTCCCGTCAGCCAGCAGGTCCTGCAGTCTGGAGATGGCATCTTGAGTCCTCATCCCAAAGTGAGAGGCCAGGTCCTCCAGGAGAACCACCTTAGAGCTCTGCAGACACAGGAGAACGGCTCAGAACCAGCTGGGCTGGACCAGTGCTGGAACGGTTCAGAACCCCGGCTCAGTTTTAACACCATCGGTTTAATTTTTAGTTCTGACTTTAACTTCTTGGTTCTGAAGGACGTGGTGATGCAACAGTTTGGTCTCCAGTTTGGACATATTTTGTCTTAAGGAAAGACGTGTCCTGAACTGAAACCAGTTTCCCTGGAGAGGACAGAAGAGTCTCACCTCGATGTACTGGATGAAGTCCTGCAGCAGGTTCTGGGACTGAACAGGACACAAACATTTAAATTAGAACTGTGGAAACCTGCAGAACTCAAAGTTACACACAGCAGCTGCTAACAGAGTACAGGCTAATATATGCTAACAGTAACTACATGCTAATTTATTCTAACAGTAACTACATGCTAATATACGCTAACAGTAACTATATGCTAATATATGCTAACAATAACTACATGCTAATATATGCTAACAGTAACTATATGCTAACAATAACTACATGCTAATATACGCTAACAGTAACTAAATGCTAATTTATGCTAACAGTAACTATATCCTAATATACGCTAACAGATGTTAACAGGAACTAGATGGTAACAGATGCTAACAGGAACTAGAGGCTAACAGATGTTAACAGGAACTAGATGGTAACAGATGCTAACAGGAACTAGAGGCTAACAGATGTTAACAGGAACTAGATGGTAACAGATGCTAACAGGAACTAGAGGCTAACAGATGTTAACAGGAACTAGATGGTAACAGATGCTAACAGGAACTAGAGGCTAACAGATGTTAACAGGAACTAGATGGTAACAGATGCTAACAGGAACTAGAGGCTAACAGATGTTAACAGGAACTAGATGGTAACAGATGCTAACAGGAACTAGAGGCTAACAGATGTTAACAGGAACTAGATGGTAACAGATGCTAACAGGAACTAGAGGCTAACAGATGTTAACAGGAACTAGATGGTAACAGATGCTAACAGGAACTAGAGGCTAACAGATGTTAACAGGAACTAGATGGTAACAGATGCTAACAGGAACTAGAGGCTAACAGATGTTAACAGGAACTAGATGGTAACAGATGCTAACAGGAACTAGAGGCTAACAGATGTTAACAGGAACTAGATGGTAACAGATGCTAACAGGAACTAGAGGCTAACAGATGTTA